CAAATATTACAAAAACATAATAAAAAAGTGACAAGAAATATGCAAAATATGCAGAAAGAAGAGTTAAAGAAACATATTCACTTCATTTGTATGTCTGTAGAAGATCTGCCGGTGCGGGCAGCCATGTTTATGAACACTGGCATCGGTGTGGCCTCTGTGCTCGGGCCACTTGTCCTGATCGGACTGGCTGTGTTGATATTGCCACGATTCATGAAAAGAGGTGAGACTTGTATCGTGATGATGATGTGATGTTACACAGATGCACACACAGCACATTGTGGCACACCGATCATGTCCCTCATATTGTCATCTGACCTTTGCAGGAACCCCAATCATTTCTCATGCACCACTGTGGGAAGAAAGAACAAATCCAGCATTTGAGTTTTGAGTATTTTTCTTCTTCTTTGCGACTCTTGATTTTTTCATTTCAAATACTTTTGTATTGATGTAGGTGTTGTTTTTTGTTTTTATGTTATTGTTAATTTGCTGACTCTCATATGTATATAGACACATTATTTTCTGCATGTTAATCATATATAGTCTCATTTGTAATTTTGTATTATTTTTACTCTGTGCAAAGCAATAACACAATTACTGTAACTCTTGCAGTATGCGTCATGTGTGCTGTTTAACATTAACTATAATTTCCACTCATGCTTAAAAATGTAAATAAACAAGAAATTACAACACATTTTGCATGAAAAGCTTTGACCTCAATCTTAGAAAGCTTAAAATAATACATAGTAAATATTGCTTGTTCCCTGCTTGTCCCTTGAACTGTATTGTAACTTGATTTGTCAGTAAATTTTAACCATCATTCCTTTACTGTATTTATTCATTCATCTTGCTCAACCACACAAATTAAGTATCTGATCAGTGTTGACATGCTTCAAGCAGTGTCCTGTGTGATGGCGAGACCCCGTCCTCTTGGTGCCCTCCCCAGCAGCTCTGGTTTACCCACATTTGACCTCTTCCATATCGGAGCTAATACTGCGGGGTCAGACTGGGAGGCGGACAAGAACCTCTGAGATCGCCAAACTGCCGCAAAGTGTCAATTTAGCACATTTACTGGCCTGAAAGCTCCTGTCACTGAGTGGTGAGGAGGTGATCTATTATCACTCTCAGCACAATGTGTCACACTGGGCACAGATCCAACGTTCACGGGCAAATTACTAACCTCGCACTAATTTTACAATAATTATCTGAGAATCACATCGCATTGTATACATGATGATCTAGTTTTTTACTATAAATCCAGGGGCAATGAATTGTATGAAGATAATCAATGGCTGTGCATCTTCCCTGTGTATCTGTACCAATACCAGAAATAAAGAATGCCCCCACACTTTAAATATGTGCTGCAAATGGCCACTCTTCAGCAAAGCATGTGCATCTGTCTTGGCGCTGCAACAGCATGAAGCCAATTATAGCGGTTAAAAGACAGAGGGTTTGTGGTCTACGGCTGGCATGAAGGGTGCAATAAATAACCGAACTGTTGACAGGAAACTGTTTGGCTACCGTCAGAATAATAATGAGGTTATTGCTACCCGCTGTGACCGTATGATCACGGTTTGATTATTTTTCTCAACCCACCCACTGTTGCTGGCAGCCATACGTACAGTGTTGTGCCAACGCTGCACATACTCGTGCACGAGAAGGGAAAAGGCCCTGCAGGTGATCACGTTGGCTTCCTTCCTTGATGTTTAATCTGGCTTTACTCCCTTCACCCACCTCTAAAGGTACAAGCGAATGCATTATGATACATAAGTCTGTACAACTAAGAGTGTTGTTCCTCCCTAGCCCATGAGCATGCACACGTGCACATGGCAGCAGCCACTTAGAGCAGATACAGACTCAGATACAAAGGCAGACTCACACACTGTATACTCTGCTGCACACTTCTGTAGCTCGGGTTGGCAGTAGCATACCACAATGACAGACAGTTAGATTGTTCCTGACCATTGACTTGCGCTCTCTGCTCTTCAAGGTCTGATTTCATAGTGGGGAATATGAGATGGGTCCAGGAGAGGGTTCACGGCCGGGGCAAGGAGGCACTCCATACAGTGGGGCTTCATATCTCTGTGTCACCCTGGGCATTCTCCCCTGACACAGCTTTCAGCCCCTCCGTTGTCCAGAACCCCCACCCTGGGTTTTCTCAACCTCTCTCCCCCAGGATTCGGTGCATTCCAGCTGGGCTCAGTGCCTGGGTGGTCCCCCTTGCCCACCTCCTGTACGCTTTGACTGGAGGGAAGGAAAAGACAGAAAAATGCAGCAAGGGCCTTTGACCGCAAGGAGCACAATGTGAGCGTTGATGACGGCGGCGTGGATGTGATGCTTACCTGCCATTGACCCATGCCGCTGTCATAGCCCAGCGTTTTTACAATCTGATGATCCACCCAGCAGCCGGGAGAAGATGCCTCGCTGACCCGTCACCTAGATCGGACTGATAAGCACTGAGGATGGACTGACCCAGCTCTGACCTCATCTCCACATTAACAGATCGGCCTCTGCCACACACCTCACACTGAAGTCACTGTATCATTAACATCATTTATTGATTCATTCAAGTTGAACAGCATACACGCATTGTGAGAATAAATACAAATACACAACCAAACAGTTATTTACATTGAGTGATGCAGTTATAATCTCGTGTTCTAACATTTAAACACAGTTAGAGGTCGGACAGTATTGTACATGCACAGGGGACTGCGTTGTTGGATTGCAAAGCATAAGAGGCAGAGGAGTAGTTACTGTATGTTTATAAGGACATGCACATGGAAAATCCAGCAACTGATAATCACAGATGTTCTTATGATGTGCTCATTATGTGACTTCTTGCCTTGACTCTTGAATTAGTATTTCCTGTTTGATGATTTTCTACCTGTGTCTGTTGGTGACTGACCTTGTGTAATTATTAACTTTGCCTTTGTATTTATGCTGCATTCCAGAAAACTCGGTAGTTCCTATTTGAAATTTCTGATTTCTGAGCTCCAAGCATATCAGGCAAATGACGGCAAGCATAACAGATTATACAGTACGACTGAACTGTCGGCAGTTCAGCTTCCTTACATATGTAATCGAAGCAGGTATTATTAACTGTAACCAGCTGCCTAATGATACTGGTTATATTTTGACCTCAATTGAAATGAAGACAGGTTTTACTTTATATTGAATATAGGTAAATGTTTTTCATGTTTCCTTTTAATTGATGGTTTTTCGATTTACAGTGTACCTCCATGGTTGTTGCATGTTGTCAGATGGCGGAGGTTCACCAATCTGGCCTTCTGAGTTTTTTTGGACTGGCAACCTGGTTTTTGGATTCTTGTTCCTGTTTTGGATTCCCTGGCCATCTGCCTGTACACCAGTTCTGCTCATTTATTGTAGTACCTTCATTGCACCTACCTGCCTTTGTGTGTGTATGTGTGTTCTGAAATGATTGTACCGTGACAGATTGACACTATATCAAATACTATCACAGTGTATCCACATTCCTTGGCGATATTTTTACACGCACTTTCATGTGGACCGTTCCTTACTGAGTCCAGTCTTCACTCTCAGGAGGTGAAGTACGAGTCCTGCATGGAGTAAAGACAGTCAATAGGAGTAAGTAAAGAGGAGCCGCCCAGGGAGAGGCAGTCCCTGTCAGCCATATGACAAAGAGGCTCTCTGTCCATTTCACCGTACAGGCCCTTGAAGCCTAAAAAAAAAGACAACATCATTGCTCAGTCAGTAACTGGTTTATAACCAGATCCTAAATTAGCTTTAAAGTCTTCTCTGGGTGTGGAGGGAGTAGTTAAAAAAATAACCCTGGTGATGCCAGCGAACTGGAGATGTGGGATTTAAAAGAAGTGGACAATTAGGAGGCAGCAGATGGTGGTGGTGGTGGGGGGGTTGGGGGTGGGTGAAGGAGAGACAGAAAGCAGGAAGGTCAAACGAGGAAGATCGAGATGCACACAGCCTTGGGGCTACAGTACAAAACAAAGTGAGGGAGNGGGGGGGGGGGGGGGGGGGGGGGGGGGGGGGGGGGGGGGGGGGGGGGGGGGGTTCTCTGATCAAAGCATCAATGAATTGTGGGTAATTTAGGACGTGGTGATTTTGGAGACGGAATTTATGTTTTCGTAGGAGCAGCATTACACTCAAACTACTAAACGGACGGAACTTGCTGGAGGATGTGGTTTAGGGTCAGGGAAAAACCCAAAACATTTTAATGTGGCTCCAATTCAGGGAACGGATCCAGGGAATTTCCTTTTCACTTTCTTCAACATTGTGAGAGGAGGGCGTTGGTGCGGCTTGATAGAATTTGATGGGAATATTAGGCCTTTGTATGAACTCAACTGAATGCCATTAAGTTTTAAGAGTGACAACTGATTCTTTGTAAAGTTTATATAATCTTCAATTTTACAAAGGTTTGCTGACCTCAGTTTGAGCAATATTACATTTTAAATTTATATCAGGTCAAATATTTCTTACATATCAACCATAATTTACCCTTTCAAATTCCATCTGACCTGAAAAGAAAGTATGAGTTATTCTGCAACATGAGGAAAATGAGCAGTATCACAGGAAACATTCCCACAATGCTGACTTTAACTTGATCCAAAAATAAATATACTATTATAATAAATGGAATATTTTAAATTAAAATTGTGTTTTAAGCTTCATGTTGCCAATATGAATGCTTTTAAATAATTTTTGGGGCAACCCTGTGAGCATCTACTTCACTAACTCTACATCATGGTGCTGCAGCGCTGAGCTCTTTACCGTAGGGGTGCATGTGATCCCCCGGCATCTGAGGAGGGGTCAGGCCCTGTCTGAAGGGGTCCATGTCATAGTCCTGCTGCTCGAGCGTGGTGAACCCCATCTGCTGCTGCGTTTTCTGCTGCTGCTGCTGACTGTGGGAAAAAGAGGAGCCCAGGCGCTCCAGCTCAGAGGGCAAACCACCACAGGGGGGCGCTGTGGGACACAGGAGACACATATCTCAACATGCAACATGTTTCTGACATTTGCTGAGCTTTTGTGCCAGTGTAATGGAAATGTCAAGTTGTCACTGATTTAAAGGGTCTGTTGAGGCACACATGCATCTTTCTGAAACCCTTTAAAGCTGGTACGTCAACATCTCCTCCCTTTATAATAAAGTATTTACTATGACATTCTTGCTTTTCTACAAGATGTGATTCCCTTTGCTGAAAAGGAAGGTACATCTGATGTAATTTTCTCTTAGCACACTGATCATGATTAACTCATGGGTATGGAAGCAGTTTTCTGCAGTATAATACCTGTATGGTGTGACGGGTGCTCATGCTGTTCCTGAGTCTGCTGCTGCTCCTGTTGCTGCTGCTGTCTCCTCGCCAATTTCTTCATCTAGAAACATGCATCACCCGACATTACAGTGAGCTGCACACACAGGTAAAATCAGCCTCTCAGTGCACAGTCCCTCTGCCACCCAGGCATACGAGTGTGTTCACACACTTGCAAAGTATTAACATCAAGGTAAAGGACATCTGTCAGTGGAAGAGGGAAACCACACATGAGCCCACTTTGTGAGGAAATATGAGGTTTAATCTACAGCCATCTCACAGTGAGATGTCATCAGTTTCCTGTATGTAGAGATAACCAGGCAGATTTCCACCCTGGCATACAAATACAGTGCAGAAAGAGTTCTTTTATTAGTGTGTGTGTATGTGTATGTGTGTGTGTGTGTGCAGGTGTGTGTATATTAATACATTGTGTATTACCTTGGCTCTTTGGTTCTGGAACCAGACCTGCACAACTCGGACGCTCAGGCCAGTCTCTGCTGCCAAGGTCTCCCTTACCTTGGATTAAGATTCAGGGGGAAGGACAAAGAAAGAAAGGTTGAATGAAAAAAAAGGAAAATAGAAAGAAAGAGGAGGTCATTTGAAGGTTAAAAAATCTGTCTCACTTCACCAGTCCACCTCAAACAAGGTGGAAGGGAAAACAATTCGATTGTTAAAGAAGATGAAACATTCAAAATATATCTCTGCTTCTCTACTCTACTAAGTCAGATTTGTGAGCAATTTGGAGGAATGTTTATATACATATGTGTAGCATAAATAATATTGCAGTATGTTCAATAGCATTAGAGCTATAGAAAGAAATGTGCCACACATGAATAACTGTAATGTTTTTTTACATTTGCAGAAAAGCCAAAAAGCGGTTCCTTTGTTTTTCTGTCCAGGTTCTAAAGTTGATCTTCTGCTGTCATCATTTAAAAAATTAAACTTCTGTTATTCTTGTTAGTTATTTTATAAAAGATGCATCCTGTAAACTTTCCAAAACAAAGGTTCTTTGCTAATTAAATAGAATGTCAAATGTACACCTTTGTACACCAAGTCTCCTTCAAATCAAGCTGCACCAAATTTCACACACACACAGATATCGGTTCGGGAGGAAACAGCGCCGACATGGAGTAAACACTCTACCTTTCTACAGGGCTTGGATGAGACCTCGAAGGAGGCTTTAAAGGTTCTTCTTTGTTGGGTGGTCAAAATAGTGCGAGGTCTTTTAGGACGTTTACTTTCCAGGTCTTCTGATCTGATTCGCCTGCCGGTAACTTTCTCCTCCTCCTCCTCCTCCTCCTCCTCCTCATCGTCTTCATCATCTTCACTTTTACCTGTAGTGGACACACATGATCGAGAAGATGTTTATTCAAAGATTCATGCAAAAACTCTTGCTATCAATCTAAGGTAATTCAGGTAATATTTGCGCTCAAGTATTTTGTGATTGCGAGTTAGACACTTTCCTTTGATTTGCAGGACCTCTGCTCTAGTTTATGGTTTCCTACATTTCCCAGAAAACCTTTCAATAACCTAGAATGAACGACTCATTGCTTTCTTAATGAGTAGAACACCATTAGTTATAAATGTCATATTTAAAATAAATCTCAGTTTGAGTCATCGTAGCACTGATTCATTACTTACTACTTTTCTATATGCTCCATTTATATAGTTTTTATGTTACTGTTATTGGGTTATTGATCCAACAGTCATGTAACAACAACACTAACCCTTTGTCTACTCAGTATTGTGTATACTGAATATGTGAACCAGTGATTTGTATATGAACAAACAAACTGTACACATACCTGTGTCAGAGGAGGTGGGACTGGCCAGACACTGGTGGTAGTCCTCTCTGGCACACAGTAGCTGTCCCTCCCTGAGGACACAGCGGTCTCCGGTCTGCAGGCGGCAGGAACAAACGCTGCAGGTGAAGCAGCGCAGGTGGAACACAGCGGCCCCTGCACGCATCACCAGCTCTGCAGGAGACACGGCCTCTGTGCAGCCCCCACAACGCACTGCAAACAGACTGGAGAGGAGGAGGAGGGAGAGGGAGTAGCAAGGGAAGAAAAAGAGAGAAACTGTGAGAGTCCAGTAAATAACAAGGGGTGATGCTTTTGTTTAGATGTGGTAAAGCTGAGACACTTGAGGAGCACCTCAGTAAGAAGAGGCTCCATGAGACAAAAATAAATGCTTGGTTGACTTTAGGAATGTTGCTGAGTCGAGCTGTCACTCAAAACAACTGCCAGTCTGACTTCTCCCCTCTCCACCTCCTCCTCCTCAGGCCCAGGCCACTCAGACACATACCCTAAGCATGGCGGGTGTGCATCTTAGCGCCTGGCAACCGGCACTGGTGGGCTTATAGCCCCAGAGACTGTTGCCGTGGCTCCGGCTGCCATGTCCGAGGCTGCGCTCCTGGGGAGGCAGGAGAAAGGCTCTCGGCAGGCCATGGCTCCAGGCAGAGGGGGGGAACCAGGTCTCCCGGTGGGAGAGGCTGAGCCGCCGGTCCCAGGAATTATCTGCAGAATTATCCCTAAGTCTGCTTAACCAGGGCAGGACAAAGACAGAGCCAGCCCCTGAGCAGCAGGACCATTGTCCGCTGGCTGGCACCTCGGCATTTTGCGTCTGTCATGCAGGATGATGCGTCATCATTCTGGAGCTGGCATTTGTCTCCAGACCTGACTGGGTCACCAGAGCAGTCAGCACAGAGGCATGAGAAAGTGACAGCTTTTTTTTTTTTAGCTTTCACATAAGAATAGGGAACTTGGAGCTGGTTAGAGCTTAAAGCTTAAAAAGTCATATTGGCCCATTAGGAATCATAGGATAATAGCCACCTGGTTGTTCCACTTCAGACATGATCAAGCATCAACATAATGAAAAACATCTGGCACTTATTCTATTTATTTTTAAAGACATTTTAACCAACATTGTTGTCTTTGTCTATTGTCTTATAGTATTAAGTATAATTACTTACAGAAAAAGCATGAAAATAGGATTGTATTTTACTTTCTCTGAAGTTTCTTAAATGGAAATACAGAATAATATTCACAAGACAAACCAAAACAAGAATAAACAGACTAAACATAAAGCAAACACCCAGGTTGAGACCCCATCAGAAGCCGTGGAGTAACAACATCCTAAAGCCAAACATTTCTGGGACCTCTTACTGTTGCTGTGGGGTCGCTAAGGAAACGGTAAAGCCCCCACTCCCAGAAGCTCAGGAGGGTCAGTCGGGCTGCTTGACCCATCCGCGTCTTCTGCCCCACGGCCTCAATGGTATGCACTTTAATATGGTCAACATACCGTCTGTGGTATGTGCATTCCTGTGGCAACAGACGATGCAATGAAGTACGTTCAAAGGAGGAAAACACTCTATGAGACAGCAAAGTGCCGCACCTGCTTTAATGTCTTAATATGATGCTGATGCTGGACGACAGCGAAGAAGAACATATTGGCCTTAATGTTGTGAGATTGTTCATGTTTCGAGAATTGCTTTTCCATTATACGCCTCGTCCAGATCGTCTCATTATCCCCACTGCTCTAAAGCATTGTTAATGCAAAGGTAGAATTCCTCCGATACTTATGGAGCAGCTCAAGGTGTTTAATATTTCAGAGTTTCCGCTGACGTGATTGACCCAGGGGCCCCGCCAGGAGAGCGGGAACACTCAGTCACGCTGGATTTAGACATGGCAATTAGTGACAAGATCATTACAGCACAATAAGTCAGCAGAATCCTGGACTCCGCCACACTGACACAGCACGGGGAAGTCGACTCGGAGTAAATGTGCTCCATGTTAAGTGTTTAGCAGAAATACACACACACACACACACACACACACACACACACAC